AATATTTGTAAGGCACTGTGTTGTTTTTTAAAAGCTAATTATTAGCTACTGTCTGGAGACAGTGGTTTTCAAAAATCACATGCTACCCTGCCCTGTGTGGCTCGGTTGGTTGAACGTCATTCCGCATGCACAGAGGGTCACGGGGAAAGAATCACACATTAAATGTCACATGATTAACTTTACATATGGTTAACATTGTATTAGAAAGTGCTCTCAGAAGTACTGCAGCTTCCTTAATTTGGGTTGATGGCAGTCATTGGTACAGAGGCTTCCGGAGGAGGTGATGTTTGCAATGAGACTTGCAGTAAACAAATTAATGCCCCCCTGCCAAGATGTTCACATCCTAATCCTCAGAACCTATAAATATATTGTTACATGAGAAAGGATATTAAGGTTGCAAGAGGAATTAAGATTATCCTGGTGGGCCCTATATAATCACGGCTCATTAAATGTGGAAGAGGGAGGCAGGAGGGTTGGGGGTGAAGCATGACATTCAACCAGCCATTGCTGGCCTTTATGATGGAAGGGAACCAAGCACCAAGGAATGCACATTCTCTAGAACCTGGAAAAGGCACCAGGGCAAACAAACAAAAAAACAACAGCAACAGCAACAACACACCTCAGATTCTCTCCTAGAGCCTCCAGAAGGAATGCAGTTCTGCTGGCATCTTGACTTTAGCCCAGTGAGACCCATTTTGGACTGTTTGCCCCCCAGAAATGTAAGATAATAAATTTGTAATGTTTTGCCCTGGCTGGTTTGGCTCAGCGGTTAGAGCGTCGGCCTGTGGTCCTGAGAGACCCGGGTTCGGTTCCCGCTAAGGGCGCGTACCTCAGTTGCAGTTTGTCCCCGGCCTTGGTCGGTTGTGCGGGTGGCAGCCACTCAATGTGTTCCTTTCACATTGATGTTTCTCTCTCTCTCTCTGTTCCTCTCTCTCCCTCCCACTCTACCTGAACAAAAAATGGAAAAATGTCCTCGGGTGAGGATAAAAAAAATAAAATAAATTTGTAATGTTTTAGGTCACCAAGTCTGTGGTGATTTGTTATAGCAACAAAAGGAGAGACCTTTTAAAAAGTAAATGTGATCCACCATATTTATGCTCTCCCAGTAGTCTCCTAGCCAGCTAGGCTCTTATTCCAAATAGTTAGCTAATATTTAAAACATGTTTTGACCTGAATTTATAACTGCTTTTGGATTTCCCAGCCATGTGAGAAAGTAAATCACGCTATTTAAAAATCACACCTAAAATACTTCCTTAGCAACCCTACCCAACTTAATTGGGTATGACTTGCATCTGAATGAGTCCTGGCTGTTTTCAAATATCAAATTCCCTCACAAAAGATGATCTACCACCACTGAGTAAGTTGAAAAGCTCCACTGCAGGCTCAGAAGTCCACCCAAAGGTGGAGTTCTACGCGTCCTGAGCACAGGCAGTCCTTAGGATGTGGTGACCACTTTGGAAGGAATATACTTATTTTGATTATAACTTTGCAGTGTCTATTTTTAAAAAACCAACCACATGACATTACAGGTAAAATTTTAACTTATTAATGCCAAACCACAAGAATAACAGCCTTGAGAATTATTTGAAAGGTTTCAAAAAATTTTTATTTTCATAAATTAACACACATAACGGTGGGAATTTGAGAGGCACAAACTACCAAACAGAAAAGGAACTGCAGGGGCATCATGTATGCCAATGTTACCCCCAAAAATGTACAAAATTCCACTGAACTATTGACCGTGATAATATATAAACACTTCAGGCAGCTATTTACTGGCCCAGACCAGCCCAAGAAGATGCTGAGGCCTCTTACCAAGAATTCAAATCCAAATTCAGCACCAGAGAGGGACTCGTGAAGACACACAACGAACAAGCATCAAATCTGAGAGTATGCTGTGCTAGATGGTGGACTATATAGGGACCCTCACTTTACAATCAAAATAGCCTTTGCTGCTCAATATTAAATTTAATTCTAGTAAAATTGAGCCTTCCTCCCTAGCCAGCTTTTTACAGAAGTTCACTTGTGGTTAAGGAGCCCTTTCCTTGCATGAATTCAGGAAAGGCTACTCCACATATCTGGCCAATTATTTTAGACTTTGGATACAGCCAACCACAATGTGGTGATTAAAAGGTCCTTTCCATGATATCCAGGGGAAAGCATACAGAAACAAAACAAGGGAATTAAAAAAAAAGCACCAACTGCATACACCCTCCCACCCCCAGGAAATGGGAGAAAGGATCACGGCCTAAATGTCAGTCTCTTGCAGATGTTGATGCACACGGTGTTGATTATGAGATGGAATCCCACCTGAAGACGAACGCTGGCTCTGCGTTCCACGAGGCTGCACCAAAGCCTGGGATCTGCTGTCCAAGTCCCACACACTCTGTGCAGCTCTTGGCCTGGCAGGCAGGGAAGGAGCCGTGGGGGTTGGGGCGATCATGCCCAGAGGATAGGATCTGGAATTTACCTCAGATTGGTTCTGGCACCCATTCAAAAGACTTTCAGGCAAAATTGTGACAAAGTGTCATGATTTTCACAGCTCTTGGAGGAGCGCAGAGTTTTGGAATTCACAGCATGAGTTTCTGAGCTTTTCAGGCTCCAATAAGGCAAACGCTACATGTTTTTCCACTGTACCTCCCTCAGCTGTAGCTCTCAGAGTAAGGTCAGTAAGAAAAAGTGGACATAATCTGGTTTAAAAGGTGATGAGGTATGAAGAAATGAAGTTGGAAACAAGGGCAAAGGAAAAGAGGAGGGGAAGGTGGTTGGGAAAACAAATACAGCTATAAACTAAACGTTGAGAAAACCCACAGTTAAGTTTCAGTGAAAAATCGATGGGCGGAACCCCAATTGGACCTGAGATTTCTCTTCTCTTTCCCACATTAATAACACTAAACCAGAGTTGAGTAAGTTATAGTCCACTATAACTCCCTACCACTTCGGTGGGAAGTCCCCAAACTCAGAAATTGTACCCACTCCCACCCCAGAACCAGACCTCCTGTAGCTCTGGGCAGGTGGTGTGCCAGCAGCTGACCAACATCTCCCATCATCGGCAGGTAACACAGGCTCTAAGGACCCCAAGCAGCGCTACAGCTGGTTAGGCCAATGGCAAAAATAAATGTTAAGACAGGTGCGGCTGAGCATGGCTAGAACCTGTCTAGCGACTTCAGGTAAGCAATTTCAAGTCTGCAATGGGGACCTGTTCTTAACTTTGAAACAGGGAAAGGCCCTAGCCAGAGGGCATGCCAAGAATTTCAAGGATAGACAGGGTTGGCCTCAAAGCAGCTTTTCTCCCACATTCCCAGGACAAGGAAGGAACCCAGGTCTCCATTTCCTCCAATTCTCCCTTCCCAGATGCCAATGTTCCAAATCACTGCTCCTGGCTGTTAAAATGCCTTGCCTGTAATGGGCAAACGTTAAGCTGTATCTCTGTAATGTTGAAAATGCCACATTGCTGACTCGTCTACACTGGCAATGGAGCTGGCTAACAGGGCTCTGTTGACTCCCTGGGAGTTTGTAAGCTGGCCAGTAGTAGTTCCCTAAAAACATTTACACAAGGGCACAATGTATTACTCACCCCGCTCCCTAAAGCAAAAAGACAGAGAGAAGCATTTAGTGTCTACAGACCTTGTCCCAGGAAGGGAGAGGTATTGAGGTGAAACACAGGTCGTGTCTATACAGCCTAAGCAAAGTGGATGTAGAATGGCAGAATCTGGTTCACATCACTCAGAGCCAGTGTGGAAGGTTGGCTCTCTTCTAATGTTATTTGCCATGGCCTTAGAAGTCTCCATGGATTACCAGATGTGTATTTAACTTACTAAATGCTACGTCTGAGGCAGTGGGCCTAGAAGACTGACGTGGCACTTTTTTTTCCTGCTCACGTTGGTTTTTCTGCTCCAGTGTGGCATAGACTGTCAACCTGCAAAGGAAAGGCACATAGAGACCCACCCCCACCCACCCCATCTGCCCACCCACCAACAAATGGGGAAACAAAAGAAACCTAGGAGACACATTCCAGGGCGGCACCACTCATTCTCCTCTGACAGACTAACTTGAAAGTGTCTCTGGAGCTTGGACAGTTCCCACTGGCAGCTGCTCCCCAGCAGTGGTCCTAGGAGGATGGGAAGAGGTGACCGACCAGTGTCCTGAGGCTGGGTCTAGTATCCCACTCACCAGCCAAGGAATGTTAATTCTCTGAACTCTTTTTTTGAAAGAGAGAGAGAGAAATAAAGGATAAAATACAAGAGAAGGAAGGCAGGGGAAGCAGGGTGAGGGCATATAGGGATTAGTGGGAAAGGAATGAGACCTCTGGGCCTGCTAACCCACACAGCATCCTTCTGCCCACAGACTCTTGGGGGCTCAAAAGCAGCAGCTCAGCAAACTCTGGCATTCTTCATATCCAGTAGGTTTGACACAGAAGCCCAGAGTACAATGAAGTGTCCTCTGAGAGGGCTGGCCGTGGAATTTCACGCTCCCACCACGAGAACGCATTACTGAGTCTGAACAGTGGCGTGTCACCTCTCCCTGCTCTGAGCTGGTTGCTCAGACAGCTGCAAACACTCTGGGTCGGCCTGTACCACTGCCCAGGCTGTTATACCCAACTTTGTTTCATACCAACACTTCCAATAAAACCCATCAAAAGACCACACCCAATCCTCACACTTTTACACCGACTGGGAGAGAAACCTGCTCTTATGTCCATCATTAAAATTAATACATCTACTTAGTGGGCAAGAATGAGAACCCAGATGAAAAAAGTGCTCCCTCTAATGACTTACACTAGAAGGCGGAGACGGGGAAGGGACTGCTTGAAACACGTGAATGAAAAAATGTCTCTCCACTGTCCCAAACCATGCACTGATAAACTGGGTCAAATGTCTACCATCTATTCTGAAGACATGTAATGTCTTTCTCCTTGATGTCTTAAAAAAATTGTTCTAAAATCACATTTAAAGGCTCCAAACATGCAGCAATTAAAAAAAAAAAAAAAGAAAAAGAAAACAAATGAAAATAACACCACAACATTAAAAAGTGCAACTTACTTCAAATGGGGCCTGGATGGGCTCCTCTGGCACTAGTGACCCACAGTCACAGAAGGGAGAAAAAAATGATGGGAACACACACACACACACACACACACACACACACACACCAGGATCTGGGCAGGTGGACTCAAAGGATTAGAAAACACCACAGGCTCATCTTTCCTCAACTACTGAGATGAGCCAGAGATACCACAAAGGATGGGATGCCAGGTCCCCCTCCCTACGCAACATCTCTAAATAATCTTGGTCTAGCACCACCGTAAACAACGTGGAACTTTCACATGGACGTGCAAATGCTTTGAGTCCTTGGAATCCTAGTGTTACTGAAGGTATGCTGCGTCTTCCTCCTATGGATGGCAGAGTGTGGCAGGAGGCCAGATGTCATTCAGGACCACTTCCAGGAGAAAGGGAGCATTCCTGAGGTTCTATACTCAGCAGTAAAAGTAGAGGACCCTCCCCTTCACCAGTTTCTAAAAAGGCTGCACCTTGGAACAAGTAAAAATCCATGGACTGCATTTTGAGTGGTTTGGGCATTGGGCAAAATTAGGCAACCTCTTCCAAGGAGGTCTGGAACATCAAATTTTGAGACTCTCAAACCAAACTGCTTCTCAACAATCAGATGATGGCTCCTGTTCCTCTTCCTTGGCAAAAAAGGTCTCCAGTTCCATTAGTTTCTGTATCAAAAGGGCATCCAGCTCTCGGCTCTGCAGTGCCGCCTTCTGTGCTCTGGTGAAGCTGCCGGCCACCTTGACCTTTCCACGAGCTCTCCTCTTTCGTGGAACTGTAAAATCCTGAAATTCTAGGACTCGCTTCCTCTTCTGTTGGCTGATTGAGATTAGCGTACCATTTCGCTCCTTAGGTTCCTCAAAGATGGTCTCTAAACACCTAAAGGTGGAACACAAAACAGAATCACCAACGCACCTACTCACATGGCAACCCGTCTAGTCAATGGGCTGAACACTACTTGCAGTAACCACTCCTTACTCAGTTGTTTCCTCTGGACGGCATCTATTTTTTTTTTTTAACGTGTATTTTTTTCCAGCTTTAATGAGGTATATTTGACAGGTAAAATTGTAATATATTTAAAGCATATAATGTGATTTGATATAATTGAACATTGTGAAAAGATTCCCTCACTGGAGTTAATTGACACACCCATCACCTCAGTTATTTACTTTCTTTGTGTGTGTGTGTGTGTGTGTGTGTGTGTGAACACACGTTTTACTCTCATCAAATTTCAGTTATACAAAACCATATCATCAACTACTGTGACCACGTGATATATTGTATCATCAGACCCCAATCATAACTGGAAGTTTATACCCTTTTATATCTTTTCCCACTTCTCCCACTCTCCAGCCCCTGGCAACCACCACCATTGTACTCTGTTTCCTTTTTTTTTTTTTTTGGATTTCACATATAAGTGGTTATCATGCAAAATTTGTTTTTCTCTGCCTGGCTTAATTCATTTACCATAATGCTCTCCAGGTTCATCCCTGTTGTTACAAATGGCAGGATTTCCTTCTTTTAAAAAAAAATTTTTTCTTTAAACATTTTTTTAAATTGATTTTTTACATAGAGGAAGGGAGAAAGAGAAACATCGATGTGAGAGAGATATATCAATTGGCTGCCTCCTGCATGCTCCCTCCTGGGGATTGAGCCCACAACCCAGGCATGTGCCCTGACCAGGAATCTAACCAGGACTGCTAAATCCACTGATCCACACCAACTGGGCAAGATTTCCTTCTTTATTTAAGGTTGAAGAATATTTCATTGTATATATAGACCACATTTTATTTTTTAATTGATTTTAGAGAGAGATGAACAGAGAGAGAAAGTTAGAAACATCAATGAGAGAGGACATCGACTGGCTGCTTCCTGCATGCCTCCCACTGGGGATCTGGCTCACATGTGCCCTGACCGGGAATTGAATGGGCGACCTCTTGGTCATGGGTCCACGCGTAACCACTGAGAAACACCAGCTGGGCCTCTGTATCTCTTTTGTTTGTCAGTTTATTTTGTTCATTGGATTCCACATATAAGTAAGATCATGTGATAGTTATCTTTCTCTGACTGGTTTATTTCACATAGCATAATAATCTCCAGGCCCATCCATGCTGTCCCAAGGGTAAGAGATCCTTCTTTTAGACAGCCACATAGTATTTCACTGTGTAAATGTACCACACATCTTAGTTAGCTATTGTAATTAACACAGCTATGAACATAGGGGTACATATATTTTTTCTGACTGGTGTTTCAAGATTCATAGGATATATTCCCAGAAGTGGGATCACTGAATCAAATGTGAGTTCCATTTTTAATTTTTTGAGGAAACTCCATACTGCTTTCCACAGTAGTTACAATAGTCTGCATTCCCACCAGCAGTGTACTAGGGTTCCCTTTCTCCACATCCTTGCCAGGACTTCTCTGTTAATTTATTGATGCTAGCCATTCTGACAGGTATGAGGTGATATCTCATTGTTTTAATTTGCATTTCTGATGATTAATGACATTGAGCATTTTTTCATATGTCTATTGGTCATCTGTATGTCCTCTTTGGAGAAGTGTCTATTCAGGTCCTCTGTCCATTTTTTTTTTTTTTAAATCCTCACCCAAGGACATTTTTGCATTTATCTTCAGATAGAGTGGGAGGAAGAGAGGGAGAAAGACAGAGAGAGAAACATCAATGTGAGAGAGATACATCGACTGGCTGCCACCCACACGACCCCAACCGGGACTGGGGACAAACTGCAACCGAGGTACGTGCCCTTAGAGGAAACCAAACCTGGGACTCTCTGGTCCGTGGGCCAATGCTCTAAATGCTGAGCCAAACAAGCTAGGGCATTTTGCCCATTTTTAAATTGGATTATTTGTCTTCCTGATGTTGAGTTGTGAATTCTCAATAAATTTTTAAAACTAACTTCTCATCAGATGCATCACTGGCAAATACATTCTCCCATACAGGGGGTTCCCTTTTCATTTTGTTGGTTTCTTACGCTTTGCAGAAACTTTTTAGTTTGATGTAGTTCCATTTGTTTATTTTTTCCTGTTTCTCTTGCACTAGATGTATTGGTGAAAATACTGCTATATGAGATGCTGAGATTTTACTGCCTGTTTTCTTCTAGGATTTCTGTGGTTTTGCAACTTACATTTAAGTCTTTTATCCATTTTGAGATTCTTATGTTGTAAGTTGTGGTCTAGTTTCATCTTTTTGGATATATCTGTCCAATTTTCCCAACACCATTTATTGAAGAGACTGTCTTAACTCCATAGTATGCTTTTGCCTCCTTTATCAAATATTAATTGACCATTATGGCATGGGTAGATTTCCGGGTTCTCTGTTCTGTTCTAGTGGTCTAGGTGTCTATTCTTGTGCTAGCACCAGGCTGTTTTGATTACAATGACTTAGTATAGTTTGGTATCTGGTATTGTGAGACCTCTAACTTTGTTCTTCTTAAGATTGCTGAGGGTGCTCAGGGTTTTTTTGGGTTCCACATAAATTTTTGGAATATTTGTTCTAGATCTGTGAAATATGTTGTTGATATTTTTTAAAAATATATATTTTTTCTTTATTGACTTTAGAGAGAGAGGAAAGGAGAGGGAGAGATATAAATATCGATGAGAGAGAACATCAATTGGCCGCCTCCTGTATGCTCCCCACTGGGGATCGAGCCCATAACCTGGGCACATGCCCTGACCGAGAATCAAACAGGCGACCTCTTAGTGCATGGGTTGATGCTCAACCACTAAGCCACACTGGTCGGGCTATGCTGATGATATTTCAATAGGGACTGCATTGAATCTGTAGATTGCTTTGGGTAGTATGGACATTTTAATAATGTTAATTATTCTAATCTGTGAACATGATATGTGCTACCACTTGTTTGCATTTTCCTGTTTCTTTTCCCAATGTCCTATAGTTTTCTGAGTACAGATCTTATACCTTCTTGGTTAAGTGTATTCCTAGGTATCTTATTGTTTTTGTTGCAATGATAAATGGGATTGCTTTATTTTTTAAAATATGTTTTTATTGCCCAGCCCGTGTGGCTCAGTGATTAAGCATTGACCCATGCACCAAGAGGTCACCTGTTCGATTTCCGGTCAGGGCACATGCCCAGATTGTGGGCTCAATTCCCCAGTGGGGGCATGCTGAAGGCAGTCAATTGATGTTCTCTCTCATTGATTCCGGTCAAGTGCATGTACCTTGGTTGCGGTTCAGTCCCCGGCCGTGGTTGTGCAGGAGGCAACCAATCGGTGGGTCTCTCTCACATCAATGTTTTTCTCTCTCTGCCCTCTCACTCTATCTGAAGATAAAAATGGAAAAATATCCTATTGTGAAGATAAAAAAAAAAAATGCCATTGATGCCCGGCTGATGTGGCTCAGTGCATTGAGCATTGTCCCATAGACTGAGAGGTCCCGGTTCGATTCTCGGCCAGGGCACATGCCCAGGTTATGATCTTGATCCCCAGTAGGGGACATGCAGGAGGCAGCCAATCAATGTCTCTCTCTCACATCGATGTTTCTATCTCCCCCCTTCCTCTCTCTAAAAATCAATAAAAAAATGTTTTTAAAAATGCCATCGATTTCTGGATGTTAATTTTGTTTCTTGCTACTTTGCGGAATTCATTTATTATATCTAGTAGTTTTCTTGTTAAGTCTTTAGGGTTTTCCATGAATAATATAATGTCATCTGCAAACATCAGTTTTACTTCATCATTTCCAATTTGGATGCCTTTTATTTTTTCCTTCTTGTCTCTTTGCTGTGGCTAGGACTTCTGGTACTATGTTGAATAAAAGTGGTGAAAGCAGACATCCCTGACTTGTTCCTGATCTTAAGGGAAACATTTTTAGTTTTTGCCCATTGAGTATAATGTTGGCTGTAGGTTTGTCATATATGGCCTTTATTATTTTGAGATATAATTCCTCTATTTCCAGTTTGCTGAGAGTCTTTATCAGAAATGAGTGCTGGATTTTTTTTTTTAATGATTTTCCTGCGTCTATTGATATGATAATGTGATTTTTATCCTTCATTTTGTTTATGCGACGTGTCACATTTGATTTGTGAATATTGTATCAGTCTTGCATCCCTGGAATAAGTCCTACTTGGTCATGGTGTACAATTTTTTAAATGTATTGCTGGATCTGATTTGCTAATACAGTGATACCTCGGTTCTCGAACATAATTCGTTCCAGGAGGACGGTCGAGAACCGAATTGTTCGAGAACCGAAGCAATGAAACCAATAGGAAAGCGTGACTCCACAAAGCGTGACTCTCTCTCTGCACTCACACTGATGACGCAAGCAAGGCGCGCTGGGCCGAATGAACGCCATTCGGCTCAACTCGGCTCATCTCGGAAGTTCGAGTTCCAAATATTTGTTCGGATTCCGAGACAAAAGTGTCTCGAATCTCCATTTGGTCGAAAACCGAGGCGTTCGAGAACCGAGGTATCACTGTATTTTGTTGAACATTTTAGCATTTATGTTTATAAAGGATATTGGCCTGGAATTTTCTTAGTAGTGTCTTTATCTGGTTTTGGAATTAGGATAATACCAGCCTCAGAAAACAAGCTTGGAAGTCTTCCATCCTCTTGAAATTTTTGGAATAGTTTGTAGATAGATGTTAGTTCTTTGAATGTTTAGTAAAACTTCCCTGTGCAGTTGTCTGGATGAGGACTTTTCTTTGCAGGGAGGTTTTTTTGTTTGTTTGTACTGCCTCAATGTCATTAGTTTTTATTGGCCTGTTTAGGTTTTCTGATTCTTCCTAATTGAGTTTTAGAAATTTTTGTTTCTAAAAATTTGTCCATTTCATTCAGGTTGTCCAATTTGTTAGCATATAGTTGTTCATAGTATTTTCTTACAACCCTTTTTATTTCTGTGTTGTCAG